AGTTTTCATAAACGTTTGGGTTATTAAAAGCAACTGTTTCCTGCCTGTTGTTCTTCACCTTGTTCTTCACTTCGCTAATTCTGAAAGGGTCTATTGTAGCCCCCCGCTCCTCATTTTGTCACCCTCACAGCTCTAGCTCATGACTCTCCTCCTGCAGATACGGAGGGAAATAATTAGGTTTTTAAGATAGAAAAGAGCGCCAGTTGGCTCATTTTCTGTCCTTAGGGAATAACTGCTATAAATCTCAGATATAGTCCCCAAAAGTTTAGAGTTCTTCAAGTGGGATTCTAATTTTTTGTTATTCAGAATAAATTTTGAAGCCTCTGAGATCCCTCATGTCTTTAACCTTTCTGCTGCACCAAGGATTGCGAAAGAGAATGGAGGACACCATGAAGCAGGACTGGAAGAAACGAGGGCTTACAAAAAAGTTTTACTTTATTTATTTTTATGAAATCTTACAAATATTAATTATGATGTGTTTAGGTTCATATCCCCTCATTGACTTTGCACTTTTTTCTGCTCAAAGACAGGCAGAAATATTCCAGTTCATGCCAACTGAATGCTCTTTTTCTCTTTAGTCCTTTAATAATTGATAAAAATGTAAAGTAAATAATATGGAAACAGAGTGAAAAGTGCATGAATATTTATGTATTCCACCTGTGAACGTTTGACGTTGAGTTGACATTGTTCGTCCTGGGCAATGCTTTTGAAGCATGGCAAGATAATGTTATGAAGCTCCCTGTAGAGGAGTTGGTGTGACCATGATATATGTAGACCTAAATTCTGTTTTTTACCCTTGTTGCAGGAAGACCGTCCCTGTGTTGCATTTGCGCTTGACATATCAGCTACGCAGCCGTCAGCTGTCACCCAATGTATGCCGAGTTGGCGTCACAGCACACATCATGAGAAATGGCCCCTTTTTCTCATGATCACGGGAATGAATCTGGTAAGTTTGGACTTTTTATGTACCGTTAACAAAAAAATATCAATACATTATGGTAGAGTCATGTTGGGTAAAAGTTTATTTTTGTATTTGTTTCTATTAGGGGGTCACTTGTCATATCTTTACTGTCTCTATGCTACCTCCACTTACACCGCTTATTACTTGATCCTATAGTGTGTTGATTTCAGTGGAGGGAAGTGAGAGAGGCAAATCATCAGAGTCAGTTACAGTAATGCTGCTATTTATTTCATTTGTCTGGTACAGTCGTAGTAAAATAGGAAGTGATGCTGGTTCTTGTCCAAAGGGATGTGCCTGGACTTGAAGCTGGCCACCTGTAACATAGAAAGTTCATTCGATGAGTTGGCGTCACAGTGATACAGATGGACCAGAACACGTTTGAGTTGAACTCTGAGATAATTTGAATTTACTTATATTTTTTCTTTCTTTTTTCAGGTATTCAGATTTGCCCCAAGTCACCACCAGAAACAAGCTGGCTACTTGAGGAAGACTTACTCTAATAATGTAAATGATTTGAAACAATAAAGAATAAAAAATGACTACATCTGACATTTTCCTTGATTTCATACACCTAATTCGTTAAAAGCTGTGGTAACTGTGGATGTAGTAGCAGACTGCCACCACTACAGCAGTGACGTCACGG